AACAGCACAAACCATACAAACAATACAAACTAGAACGACAAAACATACAAACAGATTTACAAACAATACAAAACATACGAATTATACAAACAATACAAAGTAGACCAACAAACAATACAAACTATAAAAAAAGGAAAAATAACCAAGTTGACTTTGGAGGCTTCATCCCTATATAGAGGGCACCGTCCAAAAGTCAACCCGTTTCTTTTTTAGACTTATAAACACTACAAACATGGTGGACAAAAATGACAAACTAGACCGACAAACCAAACAAAATGGAAAAACAACTGGATTGACTTTGGAGGCTCTGCCTCTATATAGAGAAGTTTCGTCCAAAAGTCAACCATGTTGTTTTTTATACATAAAAACATTACAAACTTGATCGACAAAAATTACAAACATGATGGAATAAAATAACAAAACTTACAAACATTATAAAAGAAACCGACAAACATTACAAAGAAAACAACTTGTATTACTAACCAACAAATACAACCGACAAACATTACGAAGCATACTAACCGTACAAAATATCACTACTTATTAGGGGTGGGCATCCGGTTCGGTAAACCCGAACCGAACCGGACCGAAACCGAATACAACCGAACCGAAACCGAACACTATAAATTCGGTTCGGAATTCGGAAGGCAAAATTCTACATTTCGGAACCCAGGGTATACACTACCGAACCCGAATTCCGATTAACCGACCGAAAAACCGAATATAGCCAAGCCCACCCTCCCAGCCCAGTTTCTCATCTCGGCCCACATACTCACAACACAACTTACACAGTCAGACCCTCAGCTGAGCCCACCCAACTCGACACAACCCTAAGCCTAGTCAACCACAACCTTATACGACAGCCGCCACAACCCTCAGGCCTCAACCTCTTCCACAAACCTCAACCTACCCTGAGCTCCTTCGATGAGGCGAATACAGATCCTGGGAGGGATCGGCGGCGACGGATTCCTCCTCTTCAATGGCGCTGCCGACATGCAGGCAAAGCTACCAACCATCATCTCTCGCCTTCGATGTCGTCGCCAGCGGGAGAAGAGGGTCTGAAGCAGTACGCCCAATACTTCTTTCAGATCTGAAGGAGAAAGAAAGGGAGAAGGCGAAGAAGAGTAGATCCGGCGGTGGCGGCGGGCTCGGCCTTGAGGAGCGGCGGCGTCCTCCCCAGTCCCCTGTCTTCTCTTCATCGTCACTATTCCCCGCCATCATGCCTGCAACCACATCCTTCTTTCCCTTTGTGTGTGCAGGTAGAGTGGAAGAAAGGAGATGAGAGATGGAGAAGGAAAATTGAACGGGATGAGAGAGAGGGGGCAATAATAGTTTGGAATGGGAACAGGTCCAAAATTTACAAAGAGGAAGGGAAAGTTTGTTCGGGTTTGGGGCTGAAACCGGACCGAACCGATATATATTTCGGTTCGAGCTGACCGAACCGAAATATATTTCGGTTCGGAATCGGTTTGAGGTTTGGCATAAATCGGGGACCCGGTATACAACATTTCGGTTCGGTCGAAACCGAACCGACCGAATGCCCACCCCTACTACTTATAATACAAATCAGTAAACTTGTATTACAAACCAACAAATACAAAGTATACAAATCGTAACATAAAATATACAAACTAGACAAACAAACATTACGAATTACAATATAAACAAATTAGTCATATAAATATTACAAACATAACAGACAAAAAATGAAAAACAAGATAAAAAATACAAACCGAATTGAGGGACGGGATACGGTGACAACCCCTAAGGGGTTGTCAAATTCACAACCAAGGGTATTTTGGGTATGAAAAAATGGAATATATTAATTACCTTTTTTGTATTAATTGTATTGGGAATTAAAAACCCATATTAAATACAATTTTTTTCTAAAATTTAAATCCTATACATTAATATCTCTATTTATCTCTTTCTCTCTCTCTTCCTTTCTCCAGCAGCCACTCCGCATCGACCGGCAAAATTTTTCTCCGGCGAATTCTCTCCGGCAGACTCCCTCCGGCAACCTGAAAAAATGTACCAATGCGTTAAAAAGTGTACCAATCTATTAGTCTACTGGTAATTAATATACCAGTGCTAGTGGTACGCTACCAGTACGTTAAAAAATGTACCAGTACTAGCGGTACCAGTAAAAAATGTACCAGTACTAGTGGTACGCTACCAGTACAACGCTACCAGTAGAGAATAACACGCTACTAGCACTGGTAGCGCTACCACTAGCATTGTTAGCGGTACCAGTAGAGAATAACACAAAAGAAAAAAACAGATGATAGTGGTACCAGATGATAGGGAGCCACTGGTATTGGTACCACTGAGTAGTGGTAGCGTACCAATAGCGCTACCAGTGGTATTGGTACCAATAGTGCTACCAGTGGTATTGGTACCAATAGTGCTACCAGTGGTATTTGTACCAGTAGAGACTATCAGATCTGAAAAAAAAAAAATAGGGATGAGGAAAGAGGGAGGCAGGGAAGAGTCTTGACCTCGCGGCGGCGGGGCAGGGGAGGACAGCGGCGCGGGGGAGGACAGCGGCGCGGCGCGGGGGGAGGACAGCGGCGCGCCGACAGGGGAGAGGGAGCAGTTCCCTTCCTGCCGCCTGCTGTAGTGGTGATCATCAACCTCTAATTAATGGCGCGGTGGGCATGGGAGAGGAAGAGGGAGCTGCGGCGCGGAAGAAAGGGAGGAAGGGAAGAAGGAGGTGAACGGCATGGGAGGGTTAGATTAGGGTTTTATTATTTTATATAGGAGGAAAAATGATTGGGTGTGGTAAGTTTTTTTCATACCAAAAACACCCTTCTTTTCATCTCAACCTTCAATTTAAAAATGACAGGAGAGAGACAAGAGAGAGAATACATCTAATGACTATAAAATAGGTTGTCAAACCCACAACCCTGTTAAGGGTTGTCACCATAACTCGTCCCCCGAATTGATATAACATTACAAATCAAACTTATAAACCTTTCAAAATAAATCGAAAAACATCACAAAACCAACACTACCGCCCAAAAATCCTCCTCCGCTGCTAGTAGCCGGGAAAACCTCCTCCGGTCGCAGGAAAATCTCTTTCTGTCTCTCTACCTTCATGGGAGGGGGGAAATTCCCTTGAGAAATGATACAAATGGTCCGCCGCATGGGGACGGGAAGGTGACGCAAGAAAATTCCCAGGACGTCGAATTCCTGGCCGGGGGAAGAGATGCGGAAGAATTGGAGAGTTTTTTAATTAATTAATAATTTAAAATTTAAAAAATCATACAATTACTATATTATCTTTCATTAAATTATATTCATTAGAACCATCATATTTAAATGAGGTTGAATAGGTAAGATGTACTTAGATTAGGGGTGGGCAAACGGTTCGGTAAACCCGAACCGAAACTGAATTAAACCAAACCTAAACCGAATTAATGGTATTCGGTTCGGAATTCGGAAGGAAAATATGAATAGTTCAGATATCAGGACTCCTTCAACCGAACCGAATTTCCGAATTTTCGACCGTAAAACCGAAATACTATAATTGCAAGCTCCAAATGATGGATTTTTATGTTTGTAGTTGTTTTTAGCAGTGGCGGATCCAGGGGGTGGCTAGCCCGGGCCCCGGCCCAGCCTCCTCTGGATCCATAGTTAGTATAGCCTTATGAATTTTTCGATTTTAGATATTCAGGTCGTTGTTATTTTAAAATAAGATTGGGTATAATTAGAAAAATAATTCAGATGAACATATTCAAAATCACTACTCTAAATTTAGTTTATAAATTCTAACCCCAAAGGTTATTCGTCTAGAAAAACAATGAAACCTAAAAATTCAAAAAGTTTAAAACGTAAAAGACTAAAACATATATGTGGTTTGTTACCTTGGAAAATTTACTAGAGCAGCTGGTGGATATAGGGATGGAAACACAATGCAAATTGATTAGTAGATTGATTTGTCTAGTGTTGATGCTCCTCGTTTCAATAGCTAATACGAATAGAACCTTTTCAACAACGAAACATGTGAAAATTGATTTGCGCAACAAAATGAGCGATGGATTTCTAGTCGATTGCTCAAGTATTTTATTTGAAACATTGTATACTATTGGTATGGATGTGGACTCCATTATTAATGCCTTCGCTAAATTAAAATACCGTCGTGCACAATTTACATTGTAAAAAAATTATAATCATTATATTTTTTTACTATTCTAATTTTCTAATAAAATGCGGCCCAGTGCACTTCTGTGTTCTGGATCCGCCGCTGGTTTTTAGACTTAAATATTTGAAATGTTTTAAGACTTGTGTGTTGAAAAGTTTGGTTTTATTATTGATGATGCATATAATTGATATTTATTGTTTATATTAGGGGTGAAAAATAATTTAAAAGTGAGAAAATACAAGTAGCTTCACAAATTCGGTTTTGTGTGAAAACTGAACCGAACCGAATTATAATTCGGTTTAAACCCCGATCAAACCAAATTATAATTCGGTTCGAATTCGATTTGAGGTTTGGGAGAATTCGGAGGACCCGGTATTCATAATTTCGGTTCGATCGAAACCGAACCGACCGAATGCCCACCCTTCAACTTAGATCACGTCCACCTGATCTGATCTTATCCTAGAGGGGTACAGGGGTAGGTAAGGGTGCAACTGAAACGTCAATTGTCTAGGGTAATTGCACCCGAATCTCAAGAACACCCAAAAACAAAAGATACGACCTTACGAGATGCATTCATTCATTCATTCATTCATTCATTCATTCATGTCATTTAATTTATTTATACAGGTAAAGATGGATAAATAGGTATGAAACCAATAACTTTGCAGTGCTATTAATGGGGATGTGCATGCCTACTGCCATCCAGCCAAAACCAGAACGAATCGACACTAGACTTTAGAAAGTAAAGCAAATGAAACTATATTCGACTTGGTCCAATACGATCCAAATATCGTTTCGGCCCGATTCGATCCAGTGGAAACCAAATCGTTGCACCCCCCCTAGCTATCACTTTGTCTCAAGAGTATTTTTGGGCTTCGAATTGAACATGTGGGTTGCGAATGTCATCTTGACTCTGAATCAATCTGATCTCCAAACTGCTTGCTGCTGGATCATAACCTGCCTTGTCATAGTCACTCAGTGTCCTCTGCAGAAGAGCCTGCAGATACTCCCCTCAAACCAACATTCAACAATTAATTAGATTCATTCCTAAGTTCGAGTGCAACACGAAAAGACTGTATATTTATCGAACAGGGGGGAAAACTTGTTTAGTGAGATGGATCAGCGTGAAACAGTAAAGCACCGACCTGCAAGCTTGATACTGCAAGCTCTGCAGCCTTGACAAGGTTGTCAGGATATTTCTGAAAAGGGAAGAAGAACAAATTAACAGAAACATGGAGTACCTAAACTCAAATTACACTTCAAGAGAAGGTTAACTGTTGCATTACATTGCTCCATCCAAGTAGAAGTGCGGTCATTAAATCCCCCGTTCCCTACAAGCATGTATCTGAAAGATTAAATCAAATAGCCAAAGAGAACATCTTCGGAATAGTTAGATATAAATGAATATGTATACTTTCCCGATAATTCAGGAGTTAGAATAAAAGACTTAGAAGCTTCATACACAAAAAAAAAAAAAAAAGGGGGGGGGGGGGGGGGGGGGGGGGGGGGTAGAACACATTAAACTCGAGTATCAAACCACTGTAGAAGTTCATATTTTTGAGCCCCCTGTTTCGGTAGTAGTACATATTCAAGTTCAGAACTTCAGGTTTAAATGAGATGTAAATGTATATCTTTTTATACATCAACAGGTTGCACACCAGGTAACGAATAAAAATAGTACATCTGCCTTGGTAATCATTTGAAAGAAGTGATGAGCATGAGAAGGATTTAGCAGGAACTTGCAGTACCGTAAAATAAGCTGGAATTTTGGGTATTGCAATCCTGAACTGTTGAGGTGACTGGCCCTACAAACAACATGGACATGATCATATTCATAAGAGGCTACCCAAAGGCTCACTTGCGAGCAACATTTGGGAAAAGGAAAAAATGGGAAACATGATAAATGAGAACCAGATAAAGATCGAAAATCTTAAGAGGCCATTGCTCTGCTATGGTTCCAAAAGTTGGATAAACAATAATCCCATCTTACCCCACCTTGCCAACTACCTTAGGTGAATCTGCACTTACTCGCCAGAACTTTTGGGGTGGGATTTCTTTATTGAAGGATTTAACACTTTATTTTTTTTTTTTTTGACGAATAATTTAACACTTTATACTGCACGAGAAAATGGCCCTTAAACGAACAGAAAACAAAATTGCTACTGAGGACCAACCTTTTCCCTTTTATCACTGCCGATAAGAAGAAGTCCACCACCAATGTTAATACTGGTAATCACTACCTGAGAGTTAAAAATACACATTGATCATGTGCATCAATTCACTAATACGATGAACCAAGTCAAACCGTCCATGATTTAGAAATAAAAATTAAATATATCAGAACTGTATGATAAGATGTAAGCACATGAAAGGGGGTGGGAGAGATCAAACAGTCGGAAGAAAACCTTTGAAGGCCCAGCAGCATGAAGTTTGTTGCAAGCCTCACGGCCATCACTTTCGGATACAATCCTGTACAGGAGCCTTATATGAGAAAAGAGCAGTATATTGAACAAGGCGGACTATAATTCTTGAAGATAGTACTTTTTCTTTTCAAAATTTTCATTAAAGTCATTCAAATAGTAAAAGTAATTCCGAGTCACATTGATGGGGTCACCAGACAGTAGGGAACATAACTAGAAAAGCATGCAGTCAACACCTGCAGCCAGTTAACTGTTCAGCTTCAAACTGATTAGGAGTCAACATGGAAGCCACTGGAACGACCTATCCATACAAAAGTCAGCAAGTAAGATAATGTCACTTTGATAAATAACCCCCACCCCTGGCCACCACACAAGCACAATAAAATGACAAGCTTGATGAAAATACATGGACAGAAAATTGTAACAAATATTACAAACTAGTTTCGACTCCAAAAGTTCAAAGTGACTTTTCTAGCTCGAATCTTCAATCCACATATAGAAATCAGAAACGTTAAAGTCAAGTTTCATAGAGAATCTCTACACCTCCATTAATCAGATCTGAGAAAGTAGTGCTCACCTTCTCACGGTACACTGCAACCAGGTCTGGTGGAACATACAGCTTTCCTTCATCACCCATCACTGGATCACAAACTAGACAACAAAACGGGAGTGATGTAATTAAAAAACTTCCTAGTGTATTGTTTTCAGATCAATACATATCTGCCTTAATTTAAGCCTTAATTAAAATGAGCTCAAATCAAAGACACGCCACATAGTTCATTTTTTTACAAGGCAAGAACCTTAGTGATTAACGCATTCCAATTCAAGGAGAATCCAATTACTAAGAGTAAGAACTACATCATTGGTATCTCGTGTATCCTAAGATGATCTGAGGATTCTGATTCATTGGAAAAAAGGAAAACAAATCAATTGATTATCTCATTCCAGTAGACTCCAGGAAAGTAGAAAGAACTAATGCCTTTGTATCTCGGTTGAAAATATCTACAATTAGTTCTTGTTTCTTCTACAGAGATCTTATATTTTCTTTACAAGAACCCAAATACCAAAAACAGTTTTGGATTTACTATAAATGGGGCTTTCAATGCTTATGAGCTCTTTGCATGAACACAGAACTTAACCATAAGCAAAAAACATCACTGATCTGACTGATTTCAAGATCTATAAATTGAATTAAGCACAAAAACGGAAAAAAGAATGCAGATCTGATATTTCTAACTCTCTATTATCCCAAGTTTACAGAGAAATGGGAACTATACTCTCAAATTTCTTTCAAGAAAAGATTGAAGGACCCAGCTGAGACAAACAACAGTCTTATTACAGCTCAACCTATCAAGTCCTACATAAACTCACTGATAAAAGAAAGAAGAATTCACATCTTACAAACCATGGTTCCAATCGTAGACACTATCTCATTATAAGTGTCACACGTTGTACACACTAAAACACAAGCTAATTTCTGCGGACTCAAACATTATGGAATTCAATTATATAACCTTTATCCTCTTCAATCACAAATGTTATGTGCAATTCTCTGTTCTTTTTAAATGTTTGGCGATAAAGAGGAAATAGCCTGCCAGTAACCAGCATTTCGAGCCTAGAACTAGTTCTTTAAGGTCTATCTTATGAAGCTCAATTTTAACCACTAAGATGTAGGCAACAACAGTCACAAGCCAATGCTACCTAATTAATATATATTCAAGATAACAACTCAAGAGAAGCAAGGTTCAAAAATCCATTTCTTGTCACAAGAAATGCAACAGAACTTTCTGAGGGCCCTGTCAAGGTGAAAAATCCCATCCTTCGAATGTGTCAATGATCTGACTTACCATAAGTGAGCTTTGGGTTAATCGTACGAAGCTTCTTGACAACCTCCAATATGGTGTTCAGAAATGACACTGAACCTATGTAGCCTGCCAAGTAAAACATCAGCATTCGAAGCAATATGATGAAAATAAAGAAAAGCAGTGGCTGAAACTATAATAGCAAATACATATCTTAGAAAGATACAGAAGCAGATTTAATGCCGTATACCAATGTAAGATTACAGGGCAAGATTCTCTCTCCTTAATACCATCATTTTGGCAGATCTTAATGGATCTTAATTTGACTAAATTGGAAACCTTACACACCACAGTTATTTTGGTAGATCACCAGAAAATGCACAGGATATAGAAACTTCAATAGCATCATCAACCCAGACCTTCCCAATATGGTTATGGAGTAGAAGTGCCAGTGTGATTTACAAATACATATGCAACTATCATTCTAGTTATGCGTCCATCAGTAAACTAGATCAGCATTTCAGCTATCCTTACCAAACTTCACATTTCTACAAACCCCACCTTATCTAAGACGGTCTAGAATCACTGCAGAGATGCATCTTACGACATAGGGAAATAACTAAAACAAACCGAAACATTCCAAACTTCTATTTGCTCTTGTACTTTAGAATTAAAAATACTGATCACCAAGGGGTTTCTTTTAATAAGTGAATACGAAGGGCTTTTATCAGTATCAGCAGAGACATAAAGTCTGATTAAGTAGTCAAATATGTAGAAAAGAATTGCATATTTTTAAGCATGACATTTCTAAAATTCAAAATTCACAATAGTGCAAAGGAGAACGAAAATACAAATGCATGGCTAACTAACAGAAGATACTGTTATACGTAAATGCAACAGTGAAACAAAAATTAGCAAAAATACCACAAACTTGGTCCTTTTTCAACCAATTCAATGACAAGTTCATTTCATGACAATTAAATATCCAAGCGCGGGAAGTGTTTTTCAACATTAACACATTTTCTGCCTAGATGTGAATTCATACTCTGATTAGACAATCTTCAGATTCCATAATTGTACTAAACAGGGGATCCGGTTTGTCATAGAATGCTGAGAATTTCATATTACCAAGTTCAGATCCAAATCATGACCCTACCACATGAGGTTTATAAGAAACAATAAAAGATTATTAAATGCAAGATTGTAGTGGTTTAAAATACATACGAAACATGAAAAAAGAAGTGATGCCTTCCTAAACAGAGACAATTCAAACACATCACAACTAAAAAAGACATCAAGCAAGGATTGTGTGAGAGAAACAGAAGCAGAGTGGATGCTTCTATCATGAATATAAAAATGCTAACAGCTTTGCTACCATTAGATTAAAGGTGAAGTAAATGAAGAAGTATGATACTAAAAACAAAAACAATGTTAAAGGAAAACCACAGTTGTGCTTACCCTACCTGTTAGCAGGTGAGTATAAAATAATAAATTATTTGCTTCAAGGCCTTCTATTAACTCCCATAGTTGTTGTCCATTCAGAACTTGTCCTTTAAAGCTCGGATAACCTACAAAATTTCAATGGAAGAAACTGAATAAGGAAGTTGTGTCAAGGAAATAATGCTGGAACATGTACATATTGATAAGTGACACCAACTAATACACCAGTCATCAAAGATATACACTTGCCTGTGTGGTTTGAAAATTGTACAGAATTGATAGGATCCACGTCATAGCCCAATAGCTGGAGAGGGAAAACAGCTGATTTGTTACCAACATATCCCTGCATGATAGAGAAACGTTTAAGGCATTATAACAACAATTTCACTCATGATTGTGGCCATGAAATAACTTGGGAGATAAAAAAAATAGATTGTTAAGTGATGGTATTTTCAAGTAGGCCCGAAAGTGAAATGTTAAGCAATAGCTTGAGAATTCATATTATGCATTAGGCAACTGGGTCTCGGACTATGGCAGCAACAAACTAAATCCAAGGGATATTACATTGCCTAGCAATGTGTTCTGTTAAACATAGGCATCGCCTAGCATGCAGGAGCTGTAGGGTATGATCGTGCACATTAGCACCTAGGCTCCAAAGTACTCTCAACCGATTTCGATTGCTCACAGTACATAACCAACTACAAGAGAAGGAGCAAGCTCGGATCGAAATATGAAAGCACATTCAACTCTTTCATCTAGATAACCTGAACTGCACCAAAGGGATAAACTTTTAACTAGCTTAAGAGAGAATTCAACGGAAGACTAGGTAGAGCTTTCCACATCAAAACCAAATAAGCAAGCAAGTCAATTTTCCAGCCTGCAGAATGCCTGAGAGAAAAGGGAACACGAGACTGAGCCAAAATACCTGCACCGTGTGAGACTGAATACTAAGAACTCGACCGGTATCGGAGGGAAGAGCCAGCGACAAGATCGGAGGCACCGTTTCCGACTTGCTGGAGCTCATCGAACTAGCAAATCCAATGCAAAGAAAAAACACGAAGGGAAGACCGTTAATTGTGTAACAAAATTTAAGCAGAAGCTAGATATCAACAGAGATAATCAATCAAATTCCATCTGAAATCGTCCGCTCAGCTCACCTGAAAATGGGAGGCCTTGGATGAATTTGAAACGGAAGACGGGTGCTGCTGATGATGCAGAAGCGAGGAGGAGGCAGCATATAACTATCGGGAAATCAGTCTGCCGATGAGGACAGTTATATTTCCAAAAAATCAAATTTATTATTTTAATTTGCGAAGACTCCGTACTTGGTAGCCGAGCTGATTGGTATTTATTGGAGGGGTGGTCTATTGTTTATGCATTTACCAAAATATCCCTTCTAATTTCCAGAAATACAACTCAAAAAAACTTTCCAAAAATTACACCTATTTTTTTCGAAAATTTCTAAAAATATTAAAATTTTCCAAACACTGCGGACCCCTATGACGGTTAACACGAGAACCGCAGGGAGTGTCGCGGTTTTCGTTCCGGCCGACTGAAAACCGTATAGGACCGGTGCGGTCAGATTGACCGTGCGTCACATCAGCGATCAGGCGCAAACCACCACCCCACCCTACGGTTTGCCTGCGAAATTTGTTTCTTCTTGAAACATCAAACGAACGTAACTTTGTGCTCGAGTATCCGACCGTAGCGAAATTTTTTTTTATTCCGCATATTTTTTGAAAAATTTATTTTGGGTAAATTGCAAGTTTGGTCACTCGATTACTAAAAAGTTTCAAGTTTGCCACTGAAATTAGTTTATTCCATTCATGGTCATTAAAATTAGTCCAACCGTTCAAGTTTGGTCACTCTCCGTTAGTCTATGTTAACTTTCGCTGATGTGACGGTCAACTCTAATAGTTTACCGTTAAATATATGACGTGGCATTAAAAAAATAAATTTAATTTTTTTAACAATTTCCACCTCATAATCACTAAAATTAAAAAATATTTATTTAAATTTCCTAAATCTCACGAACTAACCTCACCCCCTTTCTCACCATCGCTCGACCCAGATTTCCCAATACTGGAACGCGACAAAGGGATGTGGCAGTCAGCTTTCCTACTTCTGCCTCCTCTTCTTCTTCTTTAGATGGAGTAATCATCGCATGAACTGCTTCACTGATATCAGCCACAAAATCCACAATCGCCCCATCAATTGCTGCATGTAAACTGCTTCGGCCACACTACTGCAATGCAAGATCATCGATCAATAAGCAACCAAATTAAAAGTCCGTCTAGAAATGAAACTAAAGCCTCAAATTTGGTAAAAGGAGGAACTTACTTCAACTTGCCATAAGTGAGCAAAGATAGCTTGGACTCCTTGATTATCCCCACGATAGCGAGATTTTTGAAAACCCCCCTCTCTTATGAGACAATACCTTCAAGCCCACCTTCCAAGCATAGCTTAATCGCCTTCTCCAGCGAATTCCACCTCGAATCGTAGAAGGTCTCTGCCCCTACATCTGCCAGGAAGTTAACAGGGTAAATACTCTGCAACTTCCCTACGAGCAGTGCAACATCGGGCTGGAACGAGGCGAATATCATGGGGCGGCGGTCGGCATAATCGAACACGATTTTGAGGATCGAGTTAAGAACTCCAATGAGGTAGTCCTACTGGTAGACGACATGGTCGGCGAATTTGAGCTCGATGTTGAACCCCAAAGTAGCCGGCTTCACTTGCTGGAAAGCTTCCTGTAAAATGCAGAACGGCTCGTCGTCTTCCACCTCCCACCTCACGATTTTTCCGTCTTTGGTTTTCCTCAAAGAGGTTTGCTCGCTGGCGGCAGGGTGAAGGTCGGATCTTCCTTCTAGGGGTCGTAGGTGAGGAATTCGGCAAGGCAGAGCTCGGTAACTGTAAACTTTTGTAAAAAGACAAATGAATTGGAGAGGAAAGCTCAGATGTGTACTGAGTTTCCAGTAGCCTTTATAGCTACAAAATCGATTAACAAACATAGTCCAGCTGTCCTTATATGATAGGGTATCAATTTAAATAAACAGTGCAAATTAACGGCTAACAAAATAAACAAAACGCTGCCGTTTACTTCTCAATCGAACTCCTTCTTCTTACTTCAAACGTCGTCGTTCTTCAGTCCTCAGTGCACTAGGATTCTTCAATCTTCAGTCCTCTGCAACTCTACTCTTCTGCAACTCTGTTCTTCTGCAGCTCAATTCTGTCACCCCCCTTCAAGTTGGTGGTGCATCTGCAATCCCCAACTTGCCAAGCAATTCTTTCATTCTGAAACGGTCTAAACCCTTTTGTAAATATGTCTGCCAATTGATCACCTGTATTCACATGCTTCAGTTTGATCAAACCAGTTTTGATCCTTTCCCTTGTGACATGCATATCGATTTCAATATGCTTGGTTCTCTCGTGAAAAACAGGGTTTTCTGCTATATGTATAGAAGACCTGTTATCACAAAACACAGAAATTGGTAAAGACACTTCCACTGTCAACTCAGAGAGCAACCTCTTCAACCACTCAACTTCACATACCAAGTGTGCAAGTGCCCTGTACTCTGCTTCTGATGATGATCTTGACACTGTGGTTTGCTTTTTAGTTTTCCAGGTGAGGAGTGATGAACCAAGGAAGGTGCAATACCCTGTGATTGAACGACGTGTGTCTGGGCAGCTTGCCCAGTCTGAATCACTGAATCCTGTCAATTTTGCTTCTGCTCCATGCCTAAACATAATGCCTTGATCTGGTGCTGTTTTGAGATACCTTAGAACCCTATAAGCTGCCTGCATGTGTTCATTACAGGGGTTCTTCTGGTACTGGCACAGTTGCTGGACAGCAAACACTATGTCTGGCCTGATTATGGTAAGGTAATGAAGTCTCCCTACCAGTCTCCTGTAGGTCTCCCCATTCTCCATTGGTGTTCCCTTAGAACACAGTTTCACCTTAGGATCAACAGGTGTTTTGCATCCTTTAGCCTCTAGGTAACCTGTGTCTTTTAACAGATCAACACAATATTTCCTTTGACAAATGCTTAAACCTTCCTGATTTCTGCTTACTTCTAGACCAAGAAAGTATTTGAGTGGTCCAAGTAGTTTTACCTTGAATTCCTTGCTCAAAGCAGTTTTGATTTGATCAAGATCCTTCTGTGAATCACCTCCAATGATTATGTCATCTACATAAACTAGGAGGACTGCAATTCTTCCATGTGTCCACTTGGTAAACAAGGAATAGTCAGATGCTGACTGTGAGAAACCCAGTTTCAACAAGAAGCTGGTTAGCTTAGCAAACCACTGTCTTGAGGCCTGTTTTAGGCCATAAAGGGACTTTTTAAGCCTGCAAGTCATCTTCTGATTTCCTACTGACTCAACCTTCAATCCCAGTGGTATTTTCATGTATACAACCTCTTCCAAATCACCATGCAAGAAGGCATTTGACACATCCAGTTGCTCCATCTTCCAGTTCTTCATATTTGCCACTGCTAGAAAGGTTTTAACTGTGTTTATCTTGGCAACTGGTGAATATGTGTCCAGAAAATCTATGCCATACACTTGTGTGTAGCCCTTGGCTACTAACCTTGCCTTTTCTCTTTCCAAAGATCCATCTGGTTTGAATTTGTATTTGAAAACCCACTTGTTTCCTATCTCCTTCACATTTGGTGGCAAGGGTACCACATCCCAGGTCTGATTCTCATCCAGTGCATACAGTTCTGAATTTATTGCCCTATTCCATGCTTCTGATCTGATTGCTTCATAATAGGACTTAGGCTCCTCATGATTCACAACACTCAGGGCAAATAATCTATCTACAGGACTCAGACCATCAATATTCAAACAAATTGTATGCTTGCTGCAAACATTGGCCTTACCATATGGTCCAAAGGAGATAGAAGGATCCAATTGGTAATCACTGTATTTACTAGGCAGTTTAACAGCTCTCTTTGATTTTCCTTTGTCCTGCAGATACTCAGTGTCATGGTCAACATCTGTTTGTTGGAGTAGTTCCTGATCATCAGACTCAAAGTAGATATAGTCACCATGAGCCTCTGGTGGTAAATTCACTGGTGAACTGGTACCAGATTGCTCATGATGAGCTGATTCAACATGATCCTCAGGCTGCCCCCCTTCATCTGTGGATGAATGAAACTGAGGAGATAGTGGTGGGGAAGAGAGAGGAACATGTAATGGAGGAGCTAGAATAGGATCTGTATCTGGTGAGAATAGGGAAGTGGGAGAAGAAGAAGAAGAAGACTGATCAAAGGAGAGAAAAGGGAAAATGGTCTCATAGAAAACCACATCTCTGGAGAGATAGGTTTGTTTGGAGTGAATGTCAAGGACTTTGTAACCTTTTACTCCAGCAGGGAAACCAAGAAACACACACTGTCTTGCCCTGGGAGCAAATTTTGTCCTCCCATGGGAAAGAGTGTTGGCATAGCACAGACTGCCAAACACTCTAAGGTGTTTCAAGACAGGTGGTTCATTGTCAAGGACCTCATAAGGGGATTTGTTATTCAAAATAGGAGTGGGAAGTATGTTGATAAGGTAAACAACATGTAACACACAGTCACTCCAGTATTCTAAAGGTAGACCAGACTGAAATTTCAGTGACCTAGCCACATTTAGGATGTGCTGGTGTTTCCTTTCCACTCTCCCATTTTGTTCTGGGGTTTCAACACAGGAAACCTGGTGTTCAATTCCTTCAGCAGCAAAGTATGCACACATTTCAAATTCCTTGCCCTGATCACTTCTAATGATCTTAACAGTGGTATTGTATTGATTCTTAACTAAGTTGCAGAAGCCTTGAATGAGCCCTCTCACCTCACTCTTCTGTCTCATCAAATAGATCCATACACTTCGAGAATAATCATCCACAACAGTCAAGAAATAACAATAACCATCATAAGAAACAACTGAGAGAGGTCCCCAAATATCCATGTGCAATAAATGAAACTTCTCAGGTGCTGTGTTGGTGCTAATAGGGAAAGGAAGTTTTTTCTGTTTGGAGAAATGACAAACATCACAGTGTGCTAACTTAGACTGAGTTACATTAGGAATAAGATTGTGAAACATGGACAATTTGTCATGACTAGGATGGCCTAATCTCCAATGCCAAAGGTGAATGTCTTGAGGCTGGAAATTGAAGATGGAGGCTGCTTGGTGAACTGGTGTGGAAGAAGGACTTGAAGAAATAATCAGTTGGTAAAGACCTCTAGACTCTTTTGCAAA